TTTATCCCCACCGCTGTCAGACTGTCACTTTAAATGGTCACTGTGTGAAAACCTGCACTACTATTGACACTGTTTCCAATTGCCACTTGACACTTTTGTTGTACATAATTATCCTGCATGTAACATGTTTCTTTCTTTTGCACAATCTGAGTGTGTCTATCCATGCCAATGTGACATGTAAATTTCTCCTTTGTGAGATAAATAAAGCACATCTTATCTTATAATTATTACGAGGGCTGTCAAAATTATTGCGTTAACTTAATTAAAATTGACGCTTCTGACGCATGTACCGAATGACCCGCCCATGATCCCATAATAACGCTCAGAATGCCGGAGACACATACGTGAGAGATTGGTCTCACGTATTGGTCAAATAGCCCTTACACAGACTGGGTGTGAATCTACAGTCAATAGTCATGAAAAGAAAGGAAACTCATTGAATGAGAAAGCGTGTCTAAACTTTGTGTGTGTGCTCAACAAAAACGCAACACTTTTGTCTGTGCTCCCATTTTCCATTAGATGGACTTAAAGATCTCAAATTAATTCCAGATACACAATATTATCATTTATCTCAAACATTGTTCACAAATCTATCTAAATGTGTGAGTGTGAGCACTGCTTTGCTGAGATAATCAATCCAACCTCACAGGTGTGCCACATCAAGAAGCTGATCTGACATCACGATTAGTGTACAGTTGTGCCTTAGACTGTCCACAATAAAAGGCTACTCTGAAATGTGCATTATTTTGCTTTATTGGGGGTCTGTGGACTAAGAACCAGTCAGTATCTGGTGTGACCATCATTTGCCTCATGCAGTGCAACACATCTTCTTCGCATAGAGTTTATCAGATTGTCAATTGTCGCCTGTGGAATGTTGTTTTCACTCCTGTTCAATGGCTGTGCCAAGTTGCTGGATATAGATAGAGACTTTATTGATCCCTGTTGGAGAAATTAAAGTGTCCAGTAGTAGCAAATACAAAAAATAAAATTTATCATTCTAAAAAGTAAAAAATAGTAATAATCAGCAACAGCCCTTTAGGTTACAGGAGCAGAGGTGGAGCAGGAAAGATCACAAGGTGGAGTAGCCACTTGGTTACCATGGATCTATAATAACTGGATAGGTATTACTAGCTTATAGCTGTCCCACCCATGGACACAGGGGACGCCTGTGATACTGCAAACTAAATTCACGAAATTCAGAAAAGTCCAATAGAACACAATGTAAAATTAAAACAGCTCGACCTCAGCTGACAAACTACAGCTTTCAGAAATATCGGATTTTGTGGGGATTTTAGTGTCCCTTGTCATCCTGAACTTATTTTCTTATTAAATCCTTTGGTTTTCTTTAAATCCACACTTTACTGCCACAAACTCTGCTTGTTTCCTTTCCGCTCTGACTCCGCTCTGCTGCTGCTCTGATCAGCGGCGTTGATTGGTCAAAGCACAGGATCCCCTCTGTGCACTTGCGTGGAAGCCACAAATGCCTTTCAGCCTCTTTCCCATCAGTGAAGGTTTTCTTCTGACCATTCCAAGTAAACAAAGTGGCAGGATAGACTAGTCGGTGCTTCACTTGTAGCTCTCGTAAATGTTTTTTCACCGCAACAAACGCGTTCCTATTTTCCGCCAGCTCTCTCGTGAAGTCTTCGAAGATTGAAAGCTTGCTCCCCTCCCAGTGGATACCACGCGTCTCCCTGGGCCACCTGTAGTACCTTCTCCCTTGCAGAAGAGCGTAAGAAGCGAACAAGTACCGCACTCGGTTTGTTATGGGTCTGGAACAGGAATAGGGATGAGATGGGCGCGTTCAATCTCAAATTCACTGCCAGTAAGCCCGAGTGCGTCCTCTAAGATCTTTTCCACATATTTTGCCATTTTCCCAAGCTCTTCCAGTCCTTCTTTAAGAGAAACGATACCAACATTATTCCTCCTCCTGTTCTTCAAGTCCTCCACCCGTGACCACAGTACATCAACTCTGGTTCCAACTTGGAGTTAGCTCGCTCGTGGCCATCCTCCAGGTCCGATATGCGCTGCTCCGCCTCACCCATGCGGGCCTGGATGCTTTCCAAGGATTCCTTCAAGTCTCCTTAATAGTAATAATATCAGCCGCCATGGTTTGTAGAGTAGCATTCATTTTCCTCAGCTCGTCAAACGTGGTTTTGCTCATCTCCGGGTCCTCTTCCCCGGGTCCTCTTCCCCCTACACTCCGCTGCTAGCATCAGCCTCGGGCTGCGGTAGAGGAGTGCTAGCGAGCCTCTTTGTAGTTAGCCTCGTGGCCGTGGCCCCTTTTGAAAAAGTTTACTTTACTGGTGTTTGGCATGTTTCCCGCGACTGCCCACTCGAATAAAGCCTTCTGCGCAGAAAAAGTAACAAAAACTTGCACGTTATAAGAAGAGCACGACCCCAAAAGTAAAAATAATAGGATGAGTATCGGGGAGCGGTCTAGTGTGCGGCCATCACTCTAGGTTGCCCCACATTACTCAAGATCTCACACAGGAGAAATGTACATGTCACATCTGGCATGGATAGAAACACTCAAGATTGTGCAAAAGTTAATGTTAAATGCAGGATATATTATGTACAATAAAAAGTGGAAATCAAGAAACAGTGTCAGTAGTAGTGCAGTTTTTCAGTCCTAATGCAAGTGATTATTGTAGAGTCTGACAGTGGTGGGGATAAAGGCCCTGCGGTAGCGGTCCTTCTTGCACTGAAGGGGCCTCAGTCTTCCACTGAGAGAGCTCCTCAGCTCCTCCACAGTCCTGTGCAGTGGGTGGGAGGTGTTGTCCATGATGGAGGTGACTTTGACTACATTCAAGATTAATTATGTCCCATAGGAAATTTGTCTTGGACTCACCAGGCTTCTACTTTGAAAATACACATGAGACGGACATAAAAACACAACACAGTAACACCGACATAAACCATCACCGCTCTGCTAGCACCCTCCTGTCCCTCACCACCTCCAGAGTCCAGGGGCAGCCCAGAGTGTAGCTGGGCCTCCTGACCAGCTTGTTCAATCTACTCTTGTCCTGCTCTGTGCTGCCCGGGGCCCACCACATGGCAGCGTAGTTTATGGCAGAGGCCACCACAGAGTCATAAAATGTCCTGAGCAGAGGCCTGCTCACGCTGAAGGACCCAGCCGCCTCGGAAGGATGAGGCAACTTTGGCCCTTCTTGTACAGGGCGTTGGTGTTATGGGACCAGTCCAGTTTGTTTTCTCCGGATGTCGATTATCATCGCCTTGGTCTTACTGGTGTTCAACACACGTAGTAGTTGCGCTCACACCAGTCAACAAAGTCTGTGATAACCGGACTTTACCGGTATTCCAGTTTGTTCCCCTCAGACACACAGCCCATGATGGCGGAGTAGATGGTGTAGATGGTGAAAAGACACGGTGAGAGGACAGTGCGGCAGACTCACAGCTGCGCAACCGCACGTACTGTGGTTGGTCCAAGAGGTAGTTGATGGTCCATGCAGTGAGGCTACTGTCCACACTCCCGCGTCCTCCATCTTCCCTCGCAGCAGTGCCGGTCTGATGGTTTTGAAAGCGCTGGAGAAGTAAAAAAAAATGACCCTCACAGCGCTCCTGGCGGGCTCCAGGTAGGAGAGCGTTCGCTGCAGTAAGTAGATGACGGCGTCCTCTACTCCGATGTTGGGCCTGTAGGCGAACTGCAGCGGGTCCAGGGTGGGGCTGAACACAGAGCGGAGATGGGTGAGGGTGAGCCGCTCTGTGGTCTTTATCACGTGGGAAGGTCAGTGTGACTGGTCTATAGTGAGCCTGATTCTTGGCGTGTGCTATTTTAGGAAAAGGTATCACACAGGAGGTCTTCCACATGACAGGGACCTTCTCCAGGCTGAGGCTCAGGTCGTAGATGTAGCTGGGGACCTCAGAGAGCTGTTCTGCGCAGGTCCTCAGCAGCCTGGGACTGATCCCGTCCGGTCCTGGGATTTCCTCTGCGTCCGGTGTGATGGAGAGGGGGTGGGACCGGGGTGTTACTGTCAGAGGTGGGGGCTGGGGATGTGAGAAGGGGGCAGGAGGGCCGGGGCAGCCGAAGGCAGTGTCCAGTGGGCTGGACACGTGTGAAGAGGTGGGGGCGAGAAGGGGGGCAGATGGATGGCTTTAAGTTCGGGCCACCCATGGGTGGTTTGTTGGAAAAGCCCCTGTACCATCCTCGATCGGGACAGTGTTATCCATACAGGAAGACGGTACAAAAACATGGAAAACAAATTCCCATTATACTGTATAAACCTATATTTATACTTATATTAAGATATTACTCACCACCCTCTGCTGCTGTGACCACAGAGGTTTGTTGTTTCTGGACAAATTTTTGCGCAAGACAGATGTGTGTGTGTGTGTGTGTGTGTGTGAGATTTGGGGGTGGTTGTGAAGTGGGATGAGGGTTTAGATTAGTAGTTATTTCTCAAGTCTGTTTGCCCCCCAGGGCCTTTGCCCTGCTGCAGCGTTAGCAGGTCTTTGATGTCAGTAGTAAAATGGTGTCTTTGGCTTTTGTTTGCTGATGCTCCGTTTTCCCCCCCCCCCTCAAAGTCTGGAGCAGTATTCTCTGGATGGCCCTCGTACCAGAGGCAGGAGCAAGTCATCCATCCTGTCCTCCCCAAGAAGAGCAGCCAGCGAGAATTTTCAACACAGAATATGCGAATCTAATACAACATGTATGCAGATTATAATAACAGTTTCTGAAGAAGGGTATTAATAAAAGTAATATGGTAAATAGAATTCTATTAATTTTTTTTTTAAAAAAGAGCGAAAAGTAGGGCATGCACAAGTATTTGTACAGCTTGTTTACAGCATGGTAGGAGTCACTAAAAGCATGAAGGCTAAGGAGCAACACCAGAAATGTCGAGGATAAAGTTTTGGAAAGGTTCAATAGTGTTATTTGTACGCGTTTCCCAGTTTTGAATATCTCACTTTGATTTCTGGTGTGCATAAGCTGTTCAAGCGCCCTCTGGAGGCTAACACCATTAGCACAAGGGTTTAAAGCCCTTATGATGCTGATTTTATACCTGCTGTTTGTGTGCAGTCCGACAGCCCGTACTCCGGTCACTCCAGCAGTAACACCCTGTCAAGCACGTCCTCCAGCGGGGGCCACAGCGACACTGACAAGTGGTTCGAGCTGGGGCCTGGGGGCAGCTCCAGTGGGGAGCAAGGCGAACCCGAGCCCAATGGCTTGGGAGGAGGGGGCTATCTCCAGGGCTCATCTGCGGACAGCGGCATCGACACTAGCTCCTACGGCCCTGCGCACCTGCCGCACTCGCACCATGGCAGCACCAACGTCCCTGCTGGCCCCCGAGCGAGCAGGGACAGCCCGGGACAGGGACCGCTCAGCCTCCCCCTGGCACAGCCCCACGGAAGGCGGCCGCAGAATGCTGGAGAGGTCCCCTGCTGCAGCAGAGTCTCCAGGGCCACCGCCTGAGAGCAGAGAGGGCCGCACTCCTCCCACACACCTGCTGGTCCGGGACGCCAGTACCTACAGCCTGAGCGACATTTGTTCCAACTCCAGGTCTGCCTTTGGGCCAGTCCCGCTCAGGGTTTAGAATAGCTCATAGTTCTATTTCAGCTGGTGAGGGTGATGGTATGGGTGAGGGTTTAGCGCCAATACAACTCCATGGGGATAAACATGTTTTTCATATTTGTATTTTTTTCATATTTAAAAGTGTTTGAACTGAGCAGCAGCATCAGTGCTCTACTCTGACAAACGGACTGTTTACTAGGGTTGTAGTAAACGATGTATCGATGTATCACGATTTTTGTTGGTATGTATCACGATATGACGATATGATAATTTTAACAAAGCCTCATATAAAAGCTATAAAAACTTAGCACTGATAATTTTAAACACACTTGCCTCAAAGTGCATTACTGATTTATTGGCAGCAAAATGTGCAATACAGCTATTGTATATAAAACATATTAACAAAACTGAATTGTAGAGAATTCTGTTTTGTACATACTGAAAATTGCAGGCATCAGGTAATAAAGGTGAACATTTGTAATTTGTAAAATATATTAAAAGTTTGTCCTTTGTAATATAAAAAGTGTAGCATTATCAAATAATTTATTTGATCACTTTGGCTTATGTTTCCTAATCCCAATATAGTCAAAATGATCAAATACTGTATATATTTTTTGTATCCTTTTGCGTTTCTATAATTATGTAATTATAACTTATTTGTAATTATATTGCAATGTAGACAAACACATCCATTGAAGTAAAATGAATGACAGTAAACAGTAAATAAAGCTTACCAATGGCACTGAGAGAGAGAGAGAGAGAGAGAGAGCGCGAGGTCCGAAGCAAGCCACGCGAGTCCAGTTGTTTTAGGGCAGCTGCTTTCACAACATTAGATCCACTGTCGATAGTTACACACAATTGCTTCTTTTTATCTAGTTCCCAAACTACTCCCATATGTTTGAGGTAGCTCCGCGTTTTGGCACAATGTCCTTCTACAATCTGCATGTCTTCACCATGGTCTTCACCGCCGCCCTCAGCCATGTTTGCTCTCTGCTCTGTTGTTGTTGTTCCTGCACGCCGCTCTGCTACACGTGCCGCGCAGATGCGTCATCAAAGTGCGGCGCACACAAACGTGTCTTCCGCTTGCCGTTTTCAGTGTTAAATGATCGTTTTTCACCGGTATAAGGCATTTTCTTATCATTTAATTTACTTATACCGGTACAAAAAAAATATCGCCCAACCCTACTGTTTACATAGGAGGGTCGCGCCAGCCATTTTTCTGGATAAAACGAATGTGTTGTCACAAAACTTAATTTAGCAAGAAAATTTGTATCTTTCACTGGTCCCCTGATAAAAAACCCACAATAAGTGAAATCCTCTCAGTAGCAGCTCAGCGTTTTTAGGCTGTAAAACCCCTCACAAACATTAAAAAAACCTTTCTAACCACCTGAACCTACGACTGCTGAAGAGCGATTGCAGAGATTTCAAACCTGTTGTTTTGGTTGTAGGTCTAGTGCAAGCTGTCAAGCCATGCATACACTGTAAAATAAAGCTTTGTGGGGCAGGAGCAGGACAGTGGGCTACTGAAAGACCAGAGAGAGAAAGGGAGTGGGTCAGGGTCAGGGTGGGGGTAAGGGTAATCCATGTTTGTTACTATTCTAATGTAGGAGAGTGGTAGACCAAGGAACAAACTCCCACCCAAGTCAGCGAATAACGGAATTGTTTAATCTGTACAGCTCCAGCTCCAGGCACTCGGCTCACAGTTCACCCAGAGAAGAGTCTTCGCCCTCAGCCACATCCCCCTCCCAGGCTTCCCTCGCTGGACCCAAGAGCTTCTACCCCCGACAGGGCGCTCAGTCAAAGTACCTGATTGGCTGGAGGAAACCTGGCTCCACAATCAACTCTGTGGACTTTGGAGACACGCGCAAGTGAGCACAGGGACGCGGGACACAAGGACGAGAGAGGGCGCACGGGATGAGGGACACAGCCTCCGTTTCAGAGGAGCAAAAGACTCCTGTTTGTAAAACAAGTGACTTAGATAGATACTCTATTGATCTAAAAAGCTAACATTAAAGGCGGCTGCATATATGAAAAAAATACACCTAACCCCAAAAAAATTCTAACAAAAGGTGTAATTTTTAAGATGGCGTCCAAGATGGGCAGGAATCCCTTTACATATCCTAACTCATTCATTATTTGACCTAGCCAAGTAATCTTGGTGTCTAACCCCATGTTTTCTGGCTCTATGAATCCATTGGACTTGTCTAAATTGCACTGAGATTTTTACATACTCATGATTTTGTGATATTACTGCAAGGTTTTATCTTTGGGGTGAACTATTCTGAAGTCCTTTAAGTAATGGATAAACATGCCCCATTTAAAACTATTCGCGTAAAAGGACGGCATCTTCCATGGACTAGCTCTGACTTAATTAATCTTTTTAAACGTCGAGACCAAGCTTGGACTAAATACAGAGAGTCTAAGGACCCTAACAACTGGGAGATCTATAGACAACTCAGAAATCAATCCAAAACCCAAACTAGGAATGCCAAGTCCAATTACTATAAGGAAGCCCTCGGTCTGGACTACAATAATCCTAAACCATTTTGGAAACACCTGGACCAGCTTCTGGGTAGGTCCAAATAAAACTCAATCAATCATGTCACTGTTAATAATAATACAATTGCTGATCTTAACTTAATCTCTGAATGCTTTAATGAATATTTCTCCTCCATAAGTAGTACACAGAACTCTGGTCATCCATACTTACCTAATCCACTAAATGACGTTGTTCATGAGACATCATTTTCTTTTCATCAGATTTCACATTTGGATGCAATACAAGCTATAAACGAGCTTAAAACTAACAGTGCGGCAGGTCCAGACGGCTTAGAAGTATAATACTTCTAAGCCCAGTACCTTGGAGTAAACCTTACCGGGGAGGCTGACGAGTGTGATCCCACGATAATTGGAAACACACCCTCCGGCCCCCATTCTTGTAGAGAGGAACCACCACCCCGGTCTGCCACTCCATTGGCCCCGCCCCGCGATGTTTCAGAGACGTGTCAGCCAAGACAGTCCTACAACATCCAGAGACTTAAGATAGTCAGGACGAATCTCATCCACTCCAAAGGCCACTGCTCTACCAACTGAGCTACTGTCGCCCACCAACTGAGCTACTGTTGCGGTACTGAGCCTTCACGCCGCAGCCCTGTTTTTGACTAATTTTACAGTACCACACAGTTCTAATGAATTTATTCTTTATTTGAATCAAAATAATGGTTATGATCCATAGAAACCACCAACACTAGGAAAAACGATATGATAAAAGAGAAAAATGGGATTACTTAAGGGAAATTGTACTTCTTTTTCGCATACATATGCATATAACCAATTGCTTTAAATATATAATTGTTCTTTTAATCACTTATTTTTCATGCAAATATACTAATTTGAATATTATATGACCCAAACAGGTGTCAGACACAAATATTCCTGGTCTATAAGAAATACAAAGGAGTAATGGTCATTTTAAGGACCTGATGGCCGCCATTTTGAAAATGGGGCCTTTTTTGGAGTCAAACTTTGGTAAACTTTTAATATGTTTTTAAGTACATCTGATAGTACTGTAAACCACTGAGAAACCTTTTGTTAGAATTTTTTTTGGGGTCAAACCATATTTGCAGTTGACTCTTAGTGAAAATCAGCAACAGCCCTTTAGGTCACAGCAGCAGAGATGGAGTAGCCACTGGCAATTTTCAGCCAAATCTGTGAAACGCCCGAGGCTGGTTTGATCTTTGTGCGAGGTGTACATTTGCGTTTGACGTCGTCACGGCAACAGGGTAAAAAATAAGTCTTGGGTCTCATTGACTTTTTGAATCAAGAGGGCAAAGCAGAATTATGTGTAAAATGTCAAACATTTAGTAAAAACGAAATGTCATTATCCCCATCTAAAACTTTGACATAGTCTGTAGGGGGCACTAATGGGCCAATTTCAATTACAGTATGTGTTTGTTCTGGCATTTTTTAGTCCCATAAAAATAAACACCAAAAAATTAAATTTAGTATTTCTGAATTTTGTTTTTCATGCATGTTCAGGGGGTCCAATTAAGGTTCAAAGTGCAGAAGAATCTGAGCAAACACAATAGGTTTTTTCGATGGCACATGAAAAATCATTTTAAAGCGTTTGAGTTTACGCACGCAACCGTCACGTTTTGGTGAGTGAAAGGCACTGAAGCGTCTGTCACGTATTCATCATTGTGAAAGCAATAGGCCCTTACCCCTGCCGTTTTTCAGCGCATTCAAAAGCTTATACTTATTCTACACCAGCAGAATTTTACGCCAGACATTACACCAGTGTATTATAGAAGAAGATGATTCCTGCTTCTATAATACAGTTCTTCTATGCAGCCACAGCCCCCCTATTATCCGGCTGACATTATATTTTTGCATTTCTAAACCTGACCTGTTCTAATTTTTGTGCAGGAAGTCTCCCGGTGAGAGCAGCGTGGACCTGATCCCTACCCCAGCTGCCCGCCCCTCTTTGCGGGACATGCACTCTCCTCAGCCCCACAGCAAGTCCCTCAAGTCCCCTATGGAGGAGGAACCCAAGAGACAGGAGAACCAGGACAGTCCGCCACGACCGCTACACAGGCACAAAGAGAAGGTCCAACACAGAGGCACTAGACACAGAGGCACTAGACACAGAGGCACTAGACACAGAGGCACTAGACACAGAGGCACTAGACACAGAGGCACTAGACACAGAGGCACTCGGCACAGAGTTAAAGTTACAGAGTGTAACTCTGAATTATAGATATACATTATTTTCTAATGTTCAAACTAAAATGTGAAACCAGGACCTGACACAAACTCATCAGCGTTTTAATGATCATTGTTAACAACCAGTGCTTTATCTGAGCCGGCACCTCTGAAATTGGAGATGCATGATTATATAATACCCAAAGTAGTTTAAATGGGCCTACATTGGCATGGCTGTCGATTTATGGTTTGTAAAAATAAATGCAAACCGTGCACTTTCCTCCGTAGAAGAAACAAAGAACATTGCGGCTATACGTTTGGCAATATTTTACAGTATCAGAAAAAGATCAGCGTCATGCAATTTGTGTGACTGAGTCATTGCTTTCCCCTGTCACTAAGCCCTAGTTGTGCGCGCGCTCCTGTCACCTCTCCCCGATGTGAGGTGGGCACTCCCGCGCAGAATATTCCCAGGCATGGTGCGGTAAATTAACTCATTGCCAGCAACAGGTACTCCCATATTGCCAGCCGTTTGTGTACTATGACTATCTGAAATCCAGAACCAGATTCTGAAAGAATGGACTGTCTACTTTCATCAGCAAAAAAAATTTTGTTTCTAGCTTGTTTCGTTCCCCTGTAATCCCCAGTTGAGTAGAGGGAAGTTTTACTGAAATCACCAGAAAGCAGAGAAAAAAGAGGCACCACATGTCGACCATTCAGAGAGATGCTGCCACCTGCTGGCTAGATAAAATATGGTCTCAAGCCATCCCCATACATATTAGATACAATAGACATCTGGGAACGTGAAAATAGCGGGACACGCAATTGACGTGTTAACACGGCAATGGCAGACAACGTTACTATTTGGTTTGACGTGTCAACACGTCAATGGCGGTCAATGAGTTAAACACGTTGTACTCACGGGTCTCGCTGGGTACTCACCGGTCCGTCACACATCACCTCGTCCTGTCCCTTTTATAAACTACACAGTCGCATCATAAATGGCTTGCGCGCAGCTCGGGGTGCACACAGAGTTCGCGCGAGTGCCTGTCCAAATTTTTATCCCTCCGCTTTTGTAGCCAAGGAATGACCTGATACTAAGCCTTGTTCCATGTGATTCATGTTTCTATTGTTGCTGTGAGATTTCAAGAGGGGAGACTGCTAGAAAATCATTTAACACGACAAATCTCATTGGACATATGGGAAGCAAGCATGAGGCGGTGTACAGCGATTCCATGTAAGCTGAAGAAAAACAAACTGAAGCCACCAAGAAATATACTGTATATACAGTATATGTATATAAAATTATATATATATATATACACAGTGCGAAAGTATTCGGCCCCCTTGAACCTTTCAACATTTCGCCATATTTCAGGCTTCAAACATAAAGATATAAAATTTAAATTTTTTGTCATGAATCAACAAGTGGGACACAATCGTGAAGTGGAATGAAATTTGTTGGATAATTTAAACTTTTTTAACAAATAAAAAACTGAAAAGTGGGGCGTGCAATATTATTCGGCCCCTTTACTTTCAGTGCAGCAAACTCACTCCAGAAGTTCAGTGAGGATCTTTGAATGATCCAATGTTGTCCTAAATGACTGATGATGATAAATAGAATGCACCTGTGTGTAATCAAGTCTCCGTATAAATGCACCTGCTCTTTGATAGTCTCAGGGTTCTGTTTAAAGCGCAGAGAGAACCATGAAGACAAAGGAACACACCAGGCAGGTCCGAGATACTGTTGTGGAGAAGTTTTAAAGCCGGATTTGGATACAAAAAGATTTCCCAAGCTTTAAACATCTCAAGGAGCACTGTGCAAGCAATTATATTGAAATGGAAGGAGTATCAGACCACTGCAAATCTACCAAGACCCGGCCGTCCCTCCAAACTTTCATCTCAAACAAGGAGAAGACTGATCAGAGATGCAGCCAAGAGGCCCATGATCGCTCTGGATGAACTGCAGATAACTACAGCTGAGGTGGGGATGGTGTGTTTCAGGGTGATGAGCTGTGTTGCTTTTACGCCAAACATATCGTTTTGCATTGTGGCCAAAAAGTTTGATTTTGGTTTCATCTGACCAGAGCACCTTCTTCCACATGTTTGGTGTGTCTCCCAGGTGGCTTGTGGCAAACTTTAAACGAGACTTTTATTGGATATCTTTGAGAAATGGCCACTCTTCCATAAAGGCCAGATTTGTGCAGTGCACGACTGATTGTTGTCCTATGGACAGACTCTCCCACCTCAGCTGTACTGTAGTTATCTGCAGTTCATTCAGAGCGATCATGGGCCTCTTCGCTGCATCTCTGATCAGTCTTCTCCTTGTTTGAAATGAAAGTTTGGAGGGACAATATAATTGCTTGCACAGTGCTCCTTGAGATGTTTAAAGCTTGGGAAATCTCTTTGTATCCAAATCTGGCTTTAAACTTCTCCACAACAGTATCTCGGACCTGCCTGGTGTGTTCCTTTGTCTTCATGGTTCTCTCTGTGCTTTAAACAGAACCCTGAGACTATCAAAGAGCAGGTGCATTTATACGGAGACTTGATTACACACAGGTGCATTCTATTTATCATCATCAGTCATTTAGGACAACATTGGATCATTCAAAGATCCTCACTGAACTTCTGGAGTGAGTTTGCTGCACTGAAAGTAAAGGGGCCGAATAATATTGCACGCCCCACTTTTCAGTTTTTTATTTGTTAAAAAAGTTTAAATTATCCAATAAATTTCGTTCGACTTCGCGATTGTGTCCCACTTGTTGTTGATTCATGACAAAAAATTTAAATTTTATATCTTTATGTTTGAAGACTGAAATGTGGGAAAATGTTGAAAGGTTCAAGGGGGCCAAATACCAAAATTTCACTTTCTGTGCATCCCTACATTTTTCAATTATATATTTTCCTCTTCAGTGTATTCTGCGTTAGGATAGACTCGAACACTGCTGTTAGCTGCTTTGCTTTGTGTATCTATAGTACCTCTCACGTTACAAATTAAGCAATTAACAACACCCCAAAAGGCATTAAATTCATCCCCTCCCTACCTCCATTTATTTCTTATCTGTTTGAATTTCATGTAAATATTTATTCGCATTGTTTCCGTATTATGCAATTTGTCACTTTCATTCTTGATGCTTCCAATAAAGATAAGGAAAAAAAAATGATGGTAGTGAGAAATAAATCAGAAAATGTGAATATTAAACAGAGTGTAAAGAATTTATTTACAAAAGTAAATGGACTGGGAAAGCCCTGTCTTTCCGGGTATAAGACCATAGAGAAGGCTCTGTCCCCTGAATTTTAGACCACAGAGAAGGCCACACTTCTTTGGGGCTTTTTGCGAGTTTCCAGCATGATGTCTCTTTGGTCCTGCCTCTCTCTCCTCAGCACGGGCAGAAGTCTCCCCCCGAGCAGCCCCTGACCCGCCGCCGCTCGCTCCACAGGACTCTGTCTGATGAGAGCATTTACCGCGGCCAGCGCCTGCCCTGCCTGTCAGACTCTGTGCCCGAGCAGCTGGCCGCTGACGTGCTGTTCAGCTGTTCCACTCTGCCTCGCTCCCCCACCACTAGGGGCGTCCCACTGAGGAGGCCCTCGTACAAGCTGGGGGTCAAGCTGCACGGTATGGACACAAACTCTGTGGAGGGGACAGAGGGGTTTCAGGAGGCAGACACACACAGGGAGAGGACAACGTCAGTATTTTTTTAATATAGTACATGTCATACAGTAATGTTTTAGTGGGTCATTTGCGTTTGTCCAGGAGATCTGTCTGCCTCAGACACCTCTCTGGTGGACTTAGTGGAGCGCCATCGCGGACCCCTACCCCCTGACCTGATGCCCCTCCCCTCGGGCCGCGACAGCCCCCTGGAGTGGACCCACCTGGTGGATGTGGCCAGTACCTTCGATAGTGACCGAGGAGCGCACTATGGTGAGAATGTGAACTGTGAATGGACAATTGAATTAATTTATATCATTCAACTAACTCCTACATCATTTTTGCTCGTGCACAAAAGTTGGGCATACCCAAATGTCTTTGCTTATTTAAAAACACATCTTATATCTCACATGCTTGAGTGATGCATCATTTTAAAGCTAGAAACTTCTAGTTTATGTAAATATAAAATAAAATAATATGTCATTCCTATTTCACTCTGCATCCAAGTTTGGGAAAAGAAACCCTGTTTTTTTTAGCCTCGCCTAAAAAATTCAATGTATAAATGACATACATTCTTCATTGGAAGAAGAAAATTTTCAAAGCCAATATGGTCATTGTGTTGTTGACAACAACTGTGTACAGTTTCAAACTTCTATGTTTATAGTTTTTATGCCGTAGTGCCATTTGGAACCAATTGCCAAATTGTGCCAATTTGCTGTACTGATATTTCCTCATCATAAAAACCATACTTTTTAGTTTTGGTACTTATAAGTTACTAATCTGTTTTATTTTTTTATTTTTTTTATTTCTCTTGCCAGCTGACGCATGCGCAGATGCGTTTTTTCACAATTTTGTGGGCGGGACCACTCGCAGCCATTTTGGATAGCTCCAGTAGAGCACATTTTTTGGCCCATTAGTTAGAACAGCGGAGATAGGCGTGACTCTGTCCGTTAATATATACAGTCTATGGTAACAACAAGCACAAACGGACCCTGCGCATATCGCCGCAAATACATGCTGCTTGTCATCTTAACAAGGGTACTGCGGACACAAACCTGCTCCTATACCTCTTCATGGATGGTCTCATTTTAAAGCTAACGAGACGGGGAAAAAGAGGATACCATGTTTGTAGGTGATAAACAAGGTTGAATGTCCGCTTACAATGGAAGAGCAGTGCATGTGTTTTTTCAGAACTTTTTTCGCTAAACATAAATGCACATTTTTGGATTATTTCTCCAGAATGGATTATACTTTCGATATAACAAGTGGATATTTTTATTCCATGGACAAATCCAGAGTGAATGAGCATAAGCAATGAAGGGGGAAGTCTAATTTGTTCAAGCAGTAGAAGACGATAAAAAACGTATACACACGTCATTTATTTTGTTCCCATACTATTATTAACATTTATTAAGAGGAATAACCCCTTGAGATGAAACGTCTCGTTTCCGAGGGGGTCCTCGGAATGTATTCTATGTGTTATATATTTTTAATGCTGATATTGTTTACACTTATACAATTGTTTACACTATATAAATGTAGATGAGAAAACAAACTTTAAAATGATATATAGCTTGTGGGTTATGAAGTTCAAAATACATCTGCTATTGCCAACACATTTATTTTTTTTCCTCGTTTGCCCCCGCCGGCGGGGGCTAGCGAGCTAATTACACACATGGCACAGGGATGTGTTCTAAAAAATAATAAGTTAAATCCTTGTAGCAGCAAGATTCAAGGACCAGAGTGAGAGAGAGACCAAAGAGAGAAACATCTACATGTGTCCAGTTCAGAGGTGTTATGTTTTGGAGATGTTCAGAGAGAGAGACAACAGAAAGAGACCAGAGTGAGTCACATGGAGATGTTTCTTTCTATCCAGTTCAGAGAAGTTATGTGTTCGGAGACGTGAACCATCGCAGCAGCGGGACCAGCCCCCAGCCCCACATCGAGCTGCAGCCGGCCCCCCTGTCACGTCCTGCCTCCAGGTAACCCTGCTCCCGATAAAGCCTTGAGGTGTGTTTGCACCGCCGATGCATGGACGTTCACTAGATTTCAGCTGCTGGAGTTTAATAAATCTAACAATGCCCTGCGATTGCGAAAAAACGAAAGGCAGAAATGGTGAGCAGCATGAGTATCCAATGAAAGTAGAATGTCAACTCGGGGTGAAGACATATTTTCACAAGCACTGTGTCTTCCATTGGTTTAATCCTCATTTTATCCTGCTTTAGCTCTGGTTTTGGTCGTTTGAGTGTCTTTTCCTCTTCCTGTTTTGACCGGCTTGTGCCCTCGTCACCACTTTGCTGCTCGCTGATTGGTTGACTTTAATTATACGCTTTTTTCACATTATTGAGATACTGGCTCTTTCACTTTTGCCGCTTTGCTTGTTAGCCTTCTCTGTGCTACGCTCGGCTCCCTTTTGCCCCTCGGCCCCTTCCTTCACGTTGTCTCATTCAACACAGCAGCGGTAGAGCCCTGCACTTGAGCCCTTGGCCCGAGGGCCCCGACACCCGGCAACCCGAGGGCCGGGCTTTGGGCCGATGACCGTATAATGACCTCGGACACGGGCCGGGCTCGGGCCCGCGCACTTTCAGAGCGGCAGATTACATTTACGAGCGCACCCACTGAATATAGCGTTCTACCACGCTGTAGTGTTTGTTGTTCTGTGTAGTGTCATTGACGACACATAGCGTTTCTTACAAGTGTGTTGCGGCATCTGGGTATCATACAGTTGCGGCCGTTCACTCTGCACCACTCCGCACCCCCAGAACTCATTGCAAAACATCACTACCATGTATAACTCTGCCCTCTAGCCGGGCATATCATAAGATAAACCTTTATTAGTCTCACAGTTAAGAAATTCCAGTGTCATCGTTGCACATTACAGCAGAGAAAGGAAATAAGAGCACTCAGATTGCACACATCAAAGTCTATTATTTAAGATAAGACAATAAATGTAAGATAAAATAAAATGAGAGAAACTCTGGGCTATAATTGCACTTGGTTCGGAGTATTTACAGATGTCTATATTATATATTAGCAGCGTAGAATATGAGAATATGAGCAGAATAAACATCAGAAATAATATCAACAGGTAAAGTGACTTGAATGGGAGAATTATCAGATGTATATGAATAATACAGTAAAATATCAACAGGTAAAGTGACTGGTGAAAGGCAGAATTATCAGATATGTAATAATACAGTAGTACTGATAACAGGTAAAGTGACTAGTGAATCATCAGTGACACTTGTGTAGACTCAGCAGTTCCTGTTACACATTCTCGTTGTACAGTCTGACAGCAGCAGGAAGGAAAGACCTGCGAAACCTCTCCTTCACACAGCGAGGGTGAATTAGTCTGTCACTGAAGCTGCTCTCCAGAGCAGAGAGAGTGTCCTGCAGGGGGTGACAGTCAGGGTCCTGCATAGATGTTAGTTTGCTCAGGACCCTCCTGTCCCCCACCTGCTGCACCGTGTCCAGGGAACAGCCCAGGACTGAGCTGGACTTCCTGATGACCTTGTCCAGCTTCTTCCTGTCCCTCTCTGTGATGCTGCTGCTCCAGCAGACCACACCGTACAAGATGGCTGATGCCACCACAGAGTCATAGAAGGTCTTCAGGAGTGGCCCCTGCACTCCAAAAGACCTGAGCCTCCTCAGAGGTAGAGGCGGCTCTGGCCCTTCATGAAGAGAGCATCTGTGTTATGAGTCCAGTCCAGTTTGTGATTCAAATGAACACCCAGGTACTTGTAAGAGTCCACTCTCTTAATTCCCTTTCCCTGGATGTTCACTGGGGCTGGAGCGGCAGAGTGGCGTCTACGGAAATCCACCCACATCTCCTTGGTCTTCCCCACGTTGATGAGGAGGTGGTGGCGCTGACACTAGTCCACAAAGTCCTGTGTAACTCCTCTGTACTCTGCGTCATCGTCCTCGGAGCTGAGTCTGATGATGGCAGAGTCGTCAGAACTTCTGTAGAACACAACCGTCTGTGTTGTGTCTGAAGTCCACAGTGTAGAGGGTGAAGAGGAACGGTGCGAGGACTGTCCCCTGGGTGGCCCCCACACTGCAGGTCAGGACCTCAAGACACGTAGTCCCTGGTTCTCACAAACTAGGGTCTGTCTGTGAGGTAGTCCAGGATCCACTCAGTGACACTGACAGAGGTGTGAATGACTGGGCTATTGTCCACTGCTGAGGCGGCTAGGACATGCGGCTGAGCTGGGGGAGGGGTGGGTCTCTGATCAAACCGCAGGAAAAATTGGTTTAGATCATTAACCCACTGGGGGTCCCCCACAGGCTGGACAGGGGGTGTTTTGAAGCCCGAGATGGTCTTCAGGCTCTTCCAAACCCCTGCCACATTCTGTTGGCTCAGCTGTTCCTCCATCCTGTTCTTGTAGCGGGCCTTTGCAGTCCTGATGCTCAGCCTCAGTCTCCGTTGTACCTCCTTCAGTGCCTGTTTGTCCTTTGATAGAAAGGCCCTCCTCTTCTCCTTCAGCAGGACCTTAATCTCAATGTTCATCCACGGCTTATTGTTGGAGAAGCATCGTACCATCTTGGAAGGCACAGCGATTTCACAACAGAAGTTGATGTAATCCGTTATGCATTCTGTGATGGCACTGATGTCGTCCCCGTGGTCGCACAGTTCGTCCCACAAAGTGCAGTTAAAACAGTCCCTCAGCCTGTCTTCACACTCTGGACCAGCCGGGGAGTGGCTGGTTCTCGGTGTACAATGGGCGTATACACAGGCCTTAGGTGCACAATGTTATGGTCAGAGCAGCCGAGGGGGGGGAGGGCAGTTGGGTTGTATGCCCCTGTGGCATTTGCAAAGAATAGGTCCAAAGTTCTATTGTCTCTTGTGGGAAAGTTGATGTACTGGGTAAATGTGGGAAGCACAGTTTGGGGGGTCGCGTGATTGAAATCCCCAGTGATCAGAAACAGAGCTTGGGGGTGCAGAGTCTGTAGGTTACTTACAGTAGAGTGCAAAAGGTCACATGCATCCTCAGCCTTGGCTGATGGGGGAATGTAGGCCACTACCATAATAACGTGGCTAAACTCCCGAGGCAGATAGAAAGGCCTCATGCCAATGGCTAGCAATTCTGTCTCTGCAGCATACCACAGTTTTGATAATGCAGTGCTCAGCTTTGCACCAGTAATTGTTCACAAACACGGCAAGCCCTCCCCCTCTGCTCTTACCGGTGCGCAGCTTTGATCTGTCCGCTCTGAAAAGTGTGAAGTTGTCCAGCTCTATGACAGAGTCTGGCATGATTTCTTTTAGCCAAGTTTACGTGTATATTTGTAGACTGCTGTCTCTGTATTCCCTCTGAAAGCTGGTCAGTGCTGAGAGTTCGTCCGCTTTGTTAGAGAGAGAGCGCACGTTGCCCGTAGTAACAGAGGGAAGCGTGGGTCTGTAGCGTCCCCGCCTCTTCTCTCTGCGTTTACGTCCCGCGCGACATCCACGAGTGGATTTCCGTAGCAGCTCCGCGGGGATCTCATGCCGGTCCCGCGGCATGACCACGGAGCTCCTTACAGCCAGCAGCTCTTCCCTTGTGTAAACAATGGAGGAGCCCGGGGGGAGGGGGTGTTGTGGTCCCACACACATCGCGGCAGCAGGATAAGTCCTCAAAACTTGGATAATCCAGCAGAACTTGGGGTGGTAAAATGTAATCCGTGTGACTCGGTTATTCTCCCAGTGATTTATAAAAACGATATTTACAAAGTAAAAATAAAAACAGCTATAAAGAGAGAAAGAAGGTTGAAGCTGAAGAGCGCAACGCGACAGGCAGCCAGCTCCTCCAGTGCCTGCGCAATAGCACTATATACTACGCTAAAACATTGTTATGGGAGGTTACAAAAAAAAACAAACAGAAAAAGTCGGGCTTGATGCGGGTTTTTCGCCTGAAAATTCAGAAACCACATCGGGCCGGGGCGCCACCCCCTCGAGCCGGGCTTGGGCCCAGATATTAGGCCCGTGCAGGGCTCTGAGCAGCGGTGCTGCTTAGCTAGCAGCAAAGAAAACATGCTCGGAGGAAACAAGCTTGTTTTAAAAAGTGTAGAATATGACAGAAGCTGGTGGTGTAGCATCAGAGTCCGTGGCATTTCATACTCAGGTGGATATCACACCTTTTGTTGTCATTGAGCAACGTGGCTTAATACCAGAAACTGTAAACTCCATATCACCCATCCCTTGTTGCCGCACATGCGTGGAGCGAGGGAGTTTACTGAATCTCATCTTCTGCGTTTGCTGCATGTGTCTGCCACTCCGGGCAAACGTGCTGTACATGTGAATATTTGCACCGGCGTATGTGCTTTCCTCGTCTGTGACTTCCTTTTACTTACATGAGAATAAAAATTATTATGATTCTGATTCAACCAAGCCCTGGTGATCCAAGATGGCGGATCCATCTATTAAAATCCATTGCTTGTGCTCAGTATCGCAGTGGACGAGCACCAATGATGCTTTGCACCAAATATGTGAATGTAGCTCTCATGCATGTGCACAGAGCGGCATGGCCGAGTTCTGACCAATTGGCGGCTGCTGATCAGAGCGGAGTTAGAGCGGTAGGCAAATGAGCAGAGTTTGTAGCACTAAAGTGTGGATTTATAGAAAACCGAAGGATTTAACAAGAAAAAAAGTTCTGAATGACAAGGGCCTTTATGAAAAGCTTTAAGTTCTTTGTCAGTTAAGGTCCAGTGTTTGGAGTAATGTATTACAAAAGTAATGTAATTACTGCTATGTATAACTTTTTGCTGTAATGCAGTAATGTAAGGCATTACAAATCCAAAACTGGGTAATAATTACTCAGTACAAAGGTCAGTATCGTGAGTTAGACATGCAGCCTATGCAATAGATGAGTCTAAACACTGGTTTGATCTTTAAAGCATCCAAAAATGGTATCTCAAAGAGTCCTGTTTGAGAGAGAGGCAGACACTTGTCAACAGGCTAAAACGCGGCACATTTTAAGATGGCTAAGAATAATGTAATTCTATCACGTTTATTAAATAAACGGTGAGCTTTTGTGAACCAGTTCTGAGCCAGGACGGAGCCAAGCCTGGGCCAGGACTGACCCATGAGTCGGACTGGGCCAGGATCTGTCTGCAGATGCAGACAGATAGCTACAAGCTAGTAATACCCTATGCAGATAAAATAGATCCATGGTCACAATGCATGATCTGGTGTGAACGCCCAATTGTCTTTCTAAGGGTCCTGCAGTTATTTTTTTTACTCGGACAGAAATACTTTAAACATCTGGATTGATTTAAAACATTGCTGCTGTGTTTCAGTGAGGGCCACATAGGGTTGGAGAGGAAGGTGACTAAACTGGAAGCCATGGTGAAGATGCTGCAGGAGGACTTGAAGAAGGTGAGAGATGTTCCAAAATACAAGGCACTTATTTCAATTAAATTCAATATTTTCTTGTATAGCCCTAAATCACAGCAGTAGTTATCTACAGAGTACTTAACAAAACCGTTGAGAAACATACAGTACAAAAAAAGCAGCAGCCTGGGTGTGATATATATATAAATATATATTATAATATAAATTATATAATATAAATATTATATATATATATATACACACACACACACACACACAGTACAGACCAAAAGTTTGGACACACTTTATCATTCAATGAGTTTCCTTTCTTTTCAAGACTATTGACAGTAGATTCACACAGTGAAGTAGAGATTTTTTAAATAATTATATTATATATAATTATATATATATATACACTTAAAATAATGATAGGTCTGTAATTTTCATCATAGGTACACTTCAACTGTGAGACAGAATGTGGAAAAAAAAAAATCAAGAATTCACATTGTAGGATTTTTAAAGAATTTATTTGGAAATTATGGTGGAAAAAAAGTATTTGGTCACTTCAAACAAGGAAGATCTCTGGCTCTCACAGACCTGTAACTTCTTTAAGAAGCTCTTCTGTACTCCACTCGTTACCTGTATTAATAGCACCTGTTTGAACTCGTTATCTGTATAAAAGACACCTGTCCACAGCCTCAGTCAGACTCCAAACTCCACTATGGCCAAGACCAAAGAGCTGTCGAAGGACACCAGGAAAAGAATTGTAGACCTGCACCAAACTGGGAAGAGTGAATCTACAATAGGCAAGCAGCTTGGTGTGAGATTGGTGTAATCTCCCTCAATCGGTCGCTCCACGCAAGATGTCATCCCGTGGGGTCAAAATGATCATGAGAAGGGTGATCAAAAATCCCAGAACCACACGGGGGGACCTGATGAATGACCTGCAGAGAACACAATAAGACGACAGGGAATCAAATCCTGCAGTGCCAGTCTTGTCCCCCTGCTGAAGCCAGTGCATGTCCAGGCCCGTCTGAAGTTTGCCAGAGAGCACATGGATGATACAGCAGAGGATTGGGAGAATGTCATGTGGTCAGATGAAACCAAAGTAGAACTGTTTGGTATAAACTCAACTCGTCGTGTTTGTTGGAAGAATACTGAGTTGCATCCCAAGAACACCATACCTACTGCGACGCACGGGGATGGAAACGTCATGCTTTTGGTAGTTACCTAGTGTAACTTAAGTTCTACGAATGGTGCGTAGCCACTTAGGCTTCGCTGTGGGTATACTCAAGAAGCCCCGAGCTTCCCGCCAGAGAGAAATCAACGCTCATATCACGAGCCAATCCCATCTATAAATAGCCCTCTACAGCGCGCACCTGCCACTTTGAACTCTGCTAAAGCCAGTCTGGACTGATGGGCCCGTAGCTAAGTGGCTACGCACCATTCATAGAACTTAAGTTACACTCGGTAACTACCAATTCTACAGCATGGTGCTAACGCCACTTAGGCTTCGCTGTGGGTAACACGCGTAGCCGTAGAGAGATGTACTCCCATCAGGCCAGTGTACAGTGATTGGAGCCCTGCCCGAGTCCCCACCGCACTACCAAGGCACATGGATTCGGGGCAGGAAGAGAAAGAGAGCAGTGTACAAGGCCGCTCCTTCCAAGGACACCTGAATGACACTGACAATCTCCTGAAGAGCACGAACAGAGCAAGGGCAGCTCCTACTAAGGACGCCCTCACTCTGACAAAACTCCCGTAGGAGTAGCAAGAAAACATACTCAGGACGCCTCTACCAAGAGTTCCTGAAGTATGGAAGGTACGGGAAGAGCAGGTCACGACCCCAGGACGCCTCTATCAAGAGCTCCTGAAGGGCGGACTAGAGCAACCGCAGACCGCGGGTCGACTCCCTCCGCGTGCTCCGCGGTGAGTCAGACCCCCACGTTCAGAATGGAAAGAGCAACCGACCGTTCTGCAAGGTCCACTAAATAAGACAGAGCAAAGGAAGAGGACGAAGCCCAAGAAGCGGCTTGGCAGACGTCCTCCAGCGAGGTCCCCCTGAGCAGAGCTGTAGGGGCCGCGACTCCTCGTGTGGAGTGCGCCGGGTGAAAGGGTCGGACCCTGATGACCCTTGACCTAAAAGCCGAAGTAACGACCTTAGGCAGAAAGGCTGGATTCGGCCAAAGCTCCACCACGCCATCCTTAGCACCAAACGCCAGACACTCCGGGCGAATGGAGAGTGCGCATAGTTCACCTGCCCTCTTGGTTGAAACCAGAGCCAGTAAGAGGGCGGTCTTGAGAGCCACACACTCGAGGCTGGCCTGAGCTACAAGCTCGAAGGGAGATCCCAATAACCCCCTACAGACCACCTTGAAGTCCCAGAGAGGAGGCGTTCTCCGGAGAATGTGCCTCTTCCTTTGGGCCCCCCGAAGGAAACGTTTGACCAGCGGGTGGGAACGGGCCGAAAGGTCCCGAACCCTCCGTGGCCGGAGGCAATGGCTGCCGCGAACACCGCCAGGGTGCCGGCAGCCCTCCCCTTCTCCAGCAGTTCCTGTAGGGACCCCAGTACCCCCTCCAGTGGGCAGGACATGGGGTCCCACGACCGGGCCGCGCACCAGTCGCTGAGAATCTTCCACCTACAGCCGTAGGCTCTGACACTCTGACTCTGGAAGGGTCCCTCGCACCCTGAATGGTCTCCACCACCGACTGGGGAGACCCAGACCTACGAGATTCCGCCTCTCAGCCTCCAGACCCACAGTCTCTGGCCCAGCACTGGGGGCGAGTGAAGCGTCCCTCCTCCCTGGACCAGAGCCCCGGGCTTGTCCGGGAGAGGCCAAGGTTTCCTCATCGCCATGCCCCTCAGGAACGGGAACCAGCGGGCTGTCCGGGCCATGAGAATCTCTTCCCGACCCTCCTGCTCGATTCTCCTCAGAAGGACTGGCAAGAGGCGAGTCGGGGGAAACTCATAAGGAGGCCCCTTGGCCACAGATAATGCGCCAGGGCATACACCCCCAGGGGTGGATTGTCCGTGGCCCGTAGTGCGAACCAGAGTGGGCACAGCGCGTTGTCCCCACTGGCGAATAGGTCAACCCCCGGCCGACCAAACCTAAGCCATACCTGCGCCGCTATCTGCGGGGCCATGCCCCACTCCTCCCTGAGTGGGCCTCCCCTGGACATTAGATCCGCCCCTGTGTTCCTGTCTCCGGGAACGTGGCGGGCCCTGAGAGATAGCAGATTCACATCCGCCCAGAGCAGAATGCTGGCTGCCAGGCGATGGAGACCGGGGGACCTCCTGCCCCCCTGCCTGTTCATGTAGGCCACGACGGTGGTGTTGTCCGAACGCACCATCATGCGCCTCCTCTGCAGCAGCGGAGCAAAGTGCAGCAGCACCCTGCGCACAGCCTCCATCTCCAGTAGGATGATGTGCGGAGATGGGTCTGTCCAGAGCCCTCCCACGGAGCTCTGACCCAGAACCCCTCCCCACCCCTCGAGAGAGGCGTCTGTGAACACTTCTACGTGTGACACGGTGCCTATCAGGGGAACCCTGTCCCGCATCTGACCCGGGGTGAGAGAGCAGCTCAAAACTTTGAGTGCAGTAGCAGACCGAGATAGAGCGCGCTGAGCAGGCTGTAACCCAGCTGCTGTATGTGGGACAGAACCCAGCGCGTGTGATCCAGAGCCACTTCCTTGGACTGGGTCAGAATCAACCAATCGTCTATGTAGGTTAAAATTCTGACCCCCGCGCTATTCGTAGCTTATCTCTCCCACAATGAAGCGCAGAAGCGTCTGTGCTCTGGCACTATCGCTACGTGGAAGTAGGCGTCTGTCAGATCGATGGTAGACATCCAGTCTCTGGGCCTGACATATTCCAGCAGCTGCTTCGTAGTGAGCATGCGGAATGGCCGCCTGGAGATGCACTGGTTGAGAGCGTGCAGATCCAGAATAGGGGGCACCCCCCCTGACTTCTTGGGAACCAAGAAGTACGGGGAGTACAGCCCCCCATTTGAGCGTCTTGCAGGTCGACCTGGACTGCAGCGCCTCTTATTAGCAGGGAGGCTACCTCCTCTTGGAGAGCCTCCTCTGTGCCTTGTCGCCTGGAGCTCGCCGCTCGAACGCCCTGGAACGGCGGTGGTCTCCTCGCGAACTGCAGAGCATAGCCTCTGCGCAACGTCTTGTCCAACCACACGTCTGAGAGGAGTCCCTGCTCTCTCCAGACCTGGTAAAGGACGTGAGAGGTGGCACCGGACTCGTGACACCTGACCCTAATGCCCCCCACTCTCCTGGTGCCATCACAGGAGAGGGGGGGTTCCCTAAAGGGCCGAGGGTCTCTGTGTGTCATGCAGTGCGCGACAGATGAGTTCTCCCTCACTGTCTCGCTAATCACACTCAGCCTCCGTGCCGAGCCGTGCAGGACAGATGGCTCTGCCACCATCGTCCCGCCTATAGCAGCCTGTCTCTTTGCTCTGCTGCGCGAGACAGAGGAGTCCTTACTCTGTCTCGCTCATAGCAGCGAATCCCAATGCTGTGCTGTGTGGGACGAACTGACCCTCCTCCGTTGCCCTGGTAACAACAGCCTGCCTCTTACGCTTCAGACCCATACCAAATGGGTAAGTGTGAGAAATAACGGAGCTAGGGGTAGAGGTCATAGGCCTCCCCTTAGTGAGACCCTCGCGTTTCAAAACTCCCTGGAGAAATGAAGCGCTAGGCCTGATGGTACCTAGAGCGGTGGTCTGAGACTGGCACTGCAAACCACCCTCTGTGAAGTGTGCCTGGACTGTAGGTAAGACCACACTGCCCTCTACCTCTGACGGCATGTGGTGCAAGAGAACAGATGACAGAGACACTGGATAAGCGTAATATTTTCTTTTATTGACAAAAGATTTTTCCCCGCGCTTTCCTCCACCGAAGGGAGGGCAACGCTGGAAGGTCTGGTCTCGTGGGCCTCCGGAAGTCCACTCCTGGCCCTTTTTATCTTTATGAACCACGCGGTGCTCTCTCTCTCCTCCCAGGGGAGATAGCAGCACGCTCTGTGAGCAGCGCGTTCCTCAGAATGGCCTCCTCCCGAGTGACGAGAGACCCCTCGTCTCTGACAACTCGGACTCCATAACCCCGCCTCCACACTCAATGGGTGCAGGAGACGGGTCGAGAGGGACAAATGAACCTCAGACTCCTCTTCATGAGAAGAGTTTGGACGAAATTCCGCGGCGCTACCATGAGCTACGCGGTGCTCTCTCTCTCCCCTCCCTGGGAGATAGCAGCACATCCTGTGAGCAGCGTGCTCCTCTCTCCTCAAAATGGTCTCCTCCCGTGTGACTAGAGACCTAGTCTTGTCAACACGGTCTCCACAGCACAATCTCCCACTGCCTGGGTGCAGGAGGCAGGTCGAGAGGGACATAAGGAACCTCAGACTCCTCTACCTGAGGGGAGTCTGGGCTAGCCTCTGCGGCGCTAGCATGAGCCACGCGGTGCTCTCTCTCCTGACTGGGGAGAAAGAAGCACACTCTGTGGGCAGCGCTCTCCTCTTCTTAGAGAAGCTTACCTAGGCAAGCGCTGCACTTCCTCGTCCGACGCCTGAGGGCGAAGTGGAACTCGGACGAAGGCAGCAACATCTCGATTATTCAGAATGTGAGTAGATCTCTCTCTATAATAATAATAATAATAATACATTTTATTTATAATGCACTTTATATTTGACACCAAATCTCAAAGTGCTACAAACAGGAGCATAAATTAAAAATTGCTGTTGGTGAACCAGTCATGTCAGCACTGATAATTGTAAATGTAAATATGACCGTTAGTGATGTTTTATGTAGTAATTTTAGCATGATTTTATGTGGACTGATGGATGTAACGGGTTATGTATGAATGAATATTTGTATTTGAGTGGTTAAATATATTTTATATTGTACATGTTGTGACTCACCTGCTCAGGGACTGCAGATGGAAACTAGCTCAAGCTAAATCTGGTGCAAAGCATCTTTAATTAATGTATTTGCACATTGTCCCTGTTGAAATAAATTAATAAACTAAACTAAACTAACTAAATAAAAGCAAACACATAAAATCAGATAAAAGACTATAAAAGAATTAGCAGTACGCTTTAGTAAAAAGATGGGTTTTGAGTCCCTTTTTAAAAGCTTCCACCGTGCTTCTATGACGCCACAGTGAAAAGTGGCCGGTGCGGGCTGTAGAGGGCTATTTATAGATGGGAGTGGCACGTGTTATGAGCGTTGATTTCTCTCTGGCGGGAAGCTCGGGCTTCTTGAGTATACCCACAGCGAAACCTAAGTGGCGTTAGCACCATGCTGTAGAATGGGTCTGTTTTTCTGCTAAGGGGACAGGACGACCGATCTGTGTTAAGGAAAGAATGAATGGGGCGGTGTATCGTGAGATTTTGAGCCAAAACCCTCTCAGAGCTCTCTTCCATCAGTGAGAGCTCTGAAGATGAAACGTGGCTGAGTCTTCCAGCATTACAATGATCCCAAACACACTGCCCGGGCAACGAAGGAGTGGCTTCGTAAGAAGTATTTGAAAGTCCTGGAGTGGCCTAGCCAGTCTCCAGACCTCAACCCCATTGAAAATCTGTGGAGGGAGTTGAAAGTCTGCATTGCTCGGCGACAGCCCCAAAACATCACTGCTCTCGAGAAGATCTGTATGGAGGAATGGGCCAAAATACCAGCTACTGTGTGTGCAAACCTGGTGAAGACCTATAGTAATCGTTTGCCCTCTGTTATTGCCAACAAAGGTTATATTACAAAGTATTGAGTTGACTTTTTGTTATTGACCAAATACTTATTTTCCACCATAATTTACAAATAAATTCTTTGAAAACCCTACAATGTAAATTCCTGGATATTTTTTTTCCACATTCTGTCTCTCACAGTTGAAGTGTACCTATGATGAAAATTACATACCACTGTCATTATTTTACGTGGCAGAACTTGCACAATCGGTGGCTGACTAAATACTTTATTGCCCCAACGTAGGTATTGGTCCATAGGACAAGTGTAGAATGTTAGTGTCCTGGATCATCACCACAGTCCTTTTTGTTAGACCCACTAATACTCTAACAGACCCTCCTGCATTGGTTAGAAAAAACTTAAAAACCCAGGGTGAAAAAGTGAGAACCCTCGGGGAGAACCACATTAAGAGAAGGGTCCGCTCCATGCCGATGAACGGGCTATAGATCCAGGACTCGAGCTACAGAACGAGGACGTGAAGCACGACTTGGGTTGTAGAACGAGGACAGGACTGAAGCAGCCCCCAGGTGGGGAGCATGCAGCCCACAAGGCGGGTCGGGCAGGTGGAGAGGGCCAGGTTCAGGGGTCAATGGACAGACTACAGTTAAAATCCTAACAATGCAGATGCAGACGGATAAAGTAGGAAGGAGGAGAGGATAGTGCCCAAGTCACTATACTTATACCAGCAAACTGACGCCATACTGTATGCAGCTTGAATCTAAGAATGTCAGTCTTCCCTGAGTCTTACCTTAAAAGACACAACAAATGTTGTGATCATCATGAATCCGTCAAAGTAACAGTGAATCTTGAGAACCAGCACTTTCTATTTTTTTCTGAAATAATGGTTTTGTATATTCAACATGTAACCGCTGTCCTAATGGTTGTCTGGTGAAATGCATGAAGCTGCTCTTTGTCTCCCTTTGTCGCCCCCTGCAGGAGCGTGAGGAGAAGCAGCGGATGCAAGCTCAGATCAAGCGTCTCTGGGAGGAGAATCAGCGGCTGCAGGAGGAGTCCCAGACTTCTGCCGCCAAACTCAAGAAGTTCACAGAGTGGGTCTTCAACACCATAGATATGAACTGACCTCAATACCATCCACATGAACTGACCGGATTTCAACTGGAGCCACATTTTAAAAGGCTTACAAACAAAACATCTGTATTGAATCCGTTTTTCTGCAATTTCCACAATAACGTATTTACATTCCTCCTTCATAAAAAAGATTGCTGCACTAAAGCATCAAATCAAAAGCATCAAAAAGGATCTCATGTCAAAAAGTGACATGAGAAAAACAAAGTGTTTTTTCTTTGTTCTAAACTCCTGCAGGTTCAATCGCTTGTAAATATTTCTGATTTCCTAATTTTTGCGTTGCTCACCATGAATAGCACAAGCCCCAAATCAAAGCCATTGGTGACGTGTTTTTACCCAGAGTGCACTGCCCCAGCTCCTCAGACTGCGTGTTTTTCTCATAAGCAATAGGAAGGATCCACTGAAGACCGGATGTTTTTACCTTCACAATAAATAAGGAAAGAATTTTAACACAAACTCTGTTGACGCACAAACATGTTTTTTTTTTTTTTTTTTAATGGGGCAGATGCTACGCTTCTGAAGGGACTGGGTGTATCAGAAGTGGATGTTGTTTTACTTATTCGTTAACTTGTATGAAACTTCAAATAAATAAGTTGTTCTATTGGTGCAGTGCAGCCACATCGATGTTCAGTTTCTGAAATATGCTTTTAATAATTGTTCTGTGTTTCTTTGACATGCTGCTATTGTGTTGCTTTAATAGTGCCCTGTAGTATTGATTGCAAAAATTAAAGCTGGGGTTCCTAACTTAAATCTTAATACATTAATGATGTAATACATTAAACAAAACAGTTCACTCCTATCACTTGTTTTCATTTTGGCCTTTTGTCACATCTTTACATCTGCTTTTTCAGACAGAAGAGAGGCCCACCCTCACTTTGTTCACAAAACTGATACTTCAACACAGGCTTTATTACTGGTCATAAAACTGAGTTCACTGTTTAAAAAAAAACGTGGAATAATATTCAGAAAATACAGGCGGGAACCTTCCTACTAATTTCAGCAGGTAGCTCTGTATGCTGCCACCAGAGGGAGATGCGTCCAGCTCCCTGTAACTCTATGTTGGAGCTAAACCATAAGCTAAACACAACTCCATGTTTGTGGCTGATGAGGTCTTTATGAGTCAAGCTTTTAGCCACGGTTTCATAAATGTTTTTCCCACCTAATGTCAAAACAAAGTTATGTACCCCAGCTTTAATGTCTCCCTCATCTCAAAACTTTGACAATTGAAGCAGAATATAATCTCTGGGTACACGCATGCAGCTGTAGTTTCGGGGTACACACACACAGAGCTGTAGTCTCGGGGTACATACACAGAGCACACACTTTCTCCTCAGGTCGTTCACTAAGCCGTGTGGAATAGTGCCTCTGGTCAGGACCCTGTTCTGTTGCATGAACTGCATGTTGCGATCTGATTGTCCCAACTTGTCAAAGTAAAGTGTTGTGAACCAAAGTTACGTACCCCAGCTATAAGAACACAAAACTCAATGTTACGATTATACGCACACATTTGAGCCTAAATCTGTTCATATTGTTGGAACAAACAGCCTGAGTTCAGCTGTTTAAAGCCATAGTGTTGCACCATTCAACTGAAGTATTCTCCTGTTGCTTCCACTGGAGCAGTTTGTTGTAAGAGCGTGTTGTGGTCTTTTAGACGGAGAGCGACAGGATCCATACGTCTGTGTGCCTTTGAATGTTGATGTCTTAACAATCCTGTCCACATGTGAAGCTAGTCATTCCTGTTTTTGAATTGCCATAAAGGCACCGCTGTGACCAGGGCCTCAAACAGTCTACTACACAGTCTATAGTGTAATTACCTCGGACTGATTCTAAACCAAAAGCAAACACACGCACACACTGCCTCTAAAGTACTAAACCATCATTTTCTCCCGTTCACGACTATAAACATGAGCATTTTGTTTAATGTTCTGAAAGTTCACACACGGCTAATACTGAAGTGACAGAAAAAGGACACCTGTTATTTAAAAGGTTTTCAAAAGTATTCGTACATCAGAGTTAACACTGTGTGGAATCCTCAGCTCCAGCAGCTATTTTTTTTTTAACCAATTCCTGTCTTTTGCTCCATTAACTGATGCTCTTCACTGTCCCTGCTGAAGAAAAGCAGCCCAACAGCCTAACACTCTATATTTGACACTGCTGGAGATGAGCATTGTTAGTTTTTAGCCAAACATGACATTTTGGATGGTTACTGAACAGTACTGCTGTCTCATTCGGATTTCACTTCAGTCTTTGGTTTGAATTTCTTCACATTTTGTCAAGTTTACAACCAGAAACAAGGATTTTACTTTTGAGTTCAGAGTGTTGGTACTTTCCAGAGGCTGTAGTCATATAAAGGCTGATTGTCTTGCTCTGAAGATTCCACAGTGAAGCTTTAATCCAGATGATTCAGTTTTAATCACATGTTAAATTCTGTGGAATATTTCAAGACAAACAACAGTGTCTGTATTTGCTACACACCACATAATCTATTCCTGATAATCTGAGATAAATCCATCTGAATGTAGGATTACAAACACAAGCGCAGATTCTGGTTCTGTTTTAAGAGTCAGAGCATGGGAATATGAAAGGTTTCTGAAGCATACATTGTTGTGAATACTGTACAAATAGAAGTTCCAGCTGTGTCTGCGTCGATCACTGGTCATCTGTCAGAGTGTAAATGAAACATACAGTTTGATATTGTAAAGGAAAGTGCTATAGTTTTTGTATGAGACAGACACATGTTGGAACACTGTACAAATGTTTTTTTGTGAGAATTCTACAAGACGAACAGTTGACAGGAAATAATTAGTTCGTATTGTGTGCTAATTGGTCAAAAATGACAAAACTGAAATTTCATAGTTCAGATGGGATTTAACTAGAATGAAAATCAGTTGTACTTTTATTTAAACTTGTTTTGTAACGTCTCCTGATTTCACGCCTGAATGAAGGAGAACGTGGAGACTGTTACATCACTGTTCCTGTTGTAGGACTTCAATGTGAAGTGTATTTATTTTCTGAAGGGACCTGTTCTGGCTCGTGTAGGTGCCTGTGTGATTAATCGATTTTCAGACAGGACAGGAGCCAGGTAAGGGGGTGGGTGGACATGGGACTGGAGGAGAGGGGGGGAGGAGGGGGACAGAGGGTTCATGTTTACATTGGGGTTTTGCTCGGTCATGTTTAAATTTAGGTCCATAGTCTCAATTAAAGTGTTAAACAGTGACAGTGTTGAAGTTTCTGAAATAAATATCCTAAATGACATTGTGCTTGTTGCTCTTTTTAGGAAAAGTGAAATTGTAAATGTAATATTTTATGTACTCCAACTTTGACCAGCAATCCTGTAAATGGATGTTTATTACAGCTCACAAGCGCCTGGCTCTAAAATACTTTACTTCTATCACTAGTTTTCACAAAATGTATTTCAGGCCTCTGTACAGGGTTATTTTTGACAAATGTGTAAAACACAGTTTTTTACATTATTAACTGAGACAGTTCACAAAACCGAATGTTAACTTTTAGATAAGATATTAAAAACTTAGATCTTTAATATAGAGATAGGAGAAATTCAGGTGTCCAGTAGCAGCAAAAATAAAAAATTTAAATTTGTCATTCCAAAAAGCTAACAATAGTAATCAGCAACAGCCCTCAGGTTACGGCAGCAGAGGTGGAGTAGTCACTGAGTGTAGCAGGACGGGTCACAGTAGCAGAGATGGAGTAGCCAGTGGGTCGAGCAGGACGGGTCACGGCAGCAGAGGTGGAGCAGCCGCTGGGTGGCATAGCCGCTTGGTTCGGACCATTTTCTCTGCTCTAGTCCAAAGTAAAATGCTAAATGCTTTATTGGCACTTTTCAAAGAGTTAGCATTCCTCCAGTGGATTTTCACCTGATCCGCTTGGGTTAGACCAAGCATCCTCTCTGCTCTGGTCTGGACCAGTGCCATACCCTGAACAATCCTGCAGCAACATCTCAGGTAGAAAAAAGCAATAAAAATAATAAAGCAACTTTCAGAGCTATTTTGGACTTGCTGCCGTTTTCCTGCGCATTCAAATGTAAACAGTAAAAAGATATATACTTGACCTTTTGTGTCAAACTTTCTGCAGAAGTTGGAAAAGTCAGTGATTTAATACTATGGAATGTTCTTGTCCACACAACTCTTAACACATAATGGGCCCATGGATCTATTATAATAACTGGATAGGGTATTACTAGCTTGTAGCTGAATAACTCATGTGCTCGGCGGATTCTCGCGGTACTGCAGACTAAATTCCTGTGGGCTACCCAGAAATCTTCCCCATAGAACTCAATGCATATTAAAACAGCTCGACCTCAGCTGACAGAGAACCTACAGCTTTCATAAAAGGTCGGATTTTGTGAGGATTTTAGTGTCCCTTGTCATCCTCCTGTGGCTTCTCTCCACTCATGTTATTGCTCTCTGCTGTTTCTTGCTGCACACAGCGCCGCAAATGGCGAAGTGGCACGCTCTCTGCCAAAACAATTTCCAAGTGATAACTTTGTTACTCACGTGGCAATAAAAATGATTCTGATTCTGATTCTGATTCTGATTCTGATCCTGAACTTTTTTTCTTCTTAAATCCTTTGGTTTTGTTTAAATCCACACTTTAGTGCCACAAACTCTGCTCGTCTGGCTCTCGCTCTAACTCCCGCTCTGATGTGCTGCTCTGATTGGTCAGCGCAGCCGAGCCCCTCTGTGCACGTGCGTGAGACCCGGTGTGAGACCCACACACGTGTATTTGGCGCAACGCATTATGGGAGATCATCCACTGCGCAGAACCGGGAGGACCGTCACTCCCGTATTCGTCCCAGAAACCGGATTCGTCCGGAAGTTCAGTTTGATCCAATGAGCATACGCAGCAGTAGATTACGTCACAAAATCTGGACGGAAGCAAATATAAAAAGCAACCTATTCATGCCTAAACTTAACCAGCCATCCATCCATCCATTTTCTACCCTTTAATCCATTTCTGGGTCAGGGGGGTGGCAG